CAGCTAGTCTGTAAATCAATGAACATAGTTACATATTCTACACACCATATCTCAAATTTATTACCAATAAACAATTGAAAATTTTTTAAGGTCCTAAAGATACATTATGTAAAATTTAGATAAAGAGTTGACCTTTCTTGTTATAATAGCCCAAAATTTGATAATGTAAAATGAAAATATTGAAAATTTCATTAGACGAGGAAGCCTATTGATTTTCAGCAATTTCCGATAATTACTGCCAGAGTTATGGCCCTTGATAACTTTAAAAATTCTTGTGGACGCTCTAGAGGCTAAAGCTAATATCAGATTGATTTTAAATTTATACGCAGTGTTTGAAGTCATGAGACGAAGTATCCTATTGATTTTCAACGATTTCCGATAATTACTGCCAAAGTTATCTTCCTTGATCACTTTGAAAAATCTTGTGACGCTCTAAGGCCAAAGTTATCATCCGATTGACTTGAGATTGATACACAAAGTTTAAGGTCTTGAGACGAACAAGTATATTGATTTTCAATGAATTTTGATAACTGAACTGTTAAATCCATGATATTAAATGTTTCGTATACTAAACGTTAGCATTGGGCAGAACTTTATAAAAACCAAACAAATTCTAATGATTTTCTGATAATTACTTAATGAGTTGTTACTCTTACAATCAGATTTTAGTGTATTATAAATGTTTCATTACCGAAAAAAGTAAAAATATGTGGCAACTCTTGTTGACTGCCCGGGCGATTTAGCTACTGTGGGCACATGTTTCGTTGCCTGGTAACCTATCTTGAAATGAAATTTTAAAATGGCATACCGTTCTAATCTAGTTAAAATCTTGAATACCCGATGTCATCGAGAGTTGATTATGGTCTTGTTTTGTTAATAAATGTCTAATTAATAGTTTATATAACATTTCAGGCCTAAAGAAAGACCTGCAATAGGCAGATTTAGCTCTTGTATAATGTATGTTTAATTTTCACCTTTGATAATGTATTTACCAGAAATTGGTATTCAATTGACTTAACGTTATAACCTTAACCTTTCACCGTAATTGCCACCCACTCTTCTATGTTAAAGGGACAATAACACTCTTGTTGGCTTGACAGCTCCAGAAAATAAACCAGCGGCTGCCAGGCAGTATACGCCCACATTTTCGAGAGATGGATAGAAAACAAGCTAAACGAAAGTGATTTTTCCTACAATCAAGGGCCATAATTCAGGAAATTACAATTCGATATGCGCAAATATCGAAAGGAACCAAGATCTTTGAGTTATAAACTTACATTTCAAGTTTCAACAAAATCGGATAAAAATTGTGACCTCTATAGGGTCCACAACCTTGATATACCCTATGTTTACGCTATTTGAGAACGAGGGGCGGCCATTTTGTCTGTCAGTTTTAGGCCAATTTTCATGAAATTCGAACTCAGTCGTCCTTAGGGTGTAACGGTAATATAATAACACGTTTTTTTAAATCGGATAAAAATTATGACCTCTATAGGGTGCACAAGCTAAAAACTTGATTTTTCGTACAATCAGGGGCTATAATTCAGGAAATTACGGTCCGATATGCGCGAATATCGAAAGGAACCGAGATCTTTGGGTTATAAACTTACATTTCAAGTTTCAACAAAATCGGATAAAAATTGTGACCTCTATAGGGTCCACAACCTTGATATACCATATTTTTACGCTATTTGAGAACGAACGGCGGCCATTTTGTCTGTCAGTTTTGGGCCGATTTTCACGAAATTCGAACTCAACTGTCATTAGGGTTTAATGGTGATATATTAACACGGTTTTTTAAATCGGATAAAAATTATGACCTCTATAGGGTCCACAAGCCAAAAAACGCGTTTTTGCGTACAATCAGGGGCCATAATTCATGAAGTTACAGTCCGATATGCGCGAATATTGACAGGAACCGAGATCGTAGTGTTATAAACTTACATTTCAAGTTTCAACAAAATCGGATAACGGCGGCCATTTTGTCTGTCAGTTTTGGGCCGATTTTTTACGAAATTCGAACTCGTTCGTCTTTAGGGTTTAACGGTGATATAATAATACGGTTTTTTAAATCGGATAAAAATTATGACCTCTATAGGGTCCACAAGCCAAAAAACGCGTTTTTACGTACAATCAGGGGCCATTATTCAGGAAGTTACGGTCCGATATGCGCGAATATCGAAAGGAACCGAGATCTTTGGATTATAAACTTACATTTCAAGTTTCAACAAAATCGGATCAAAATTGTGACCTCTACAGTGTTCACAAGCCAAAAACTTGATATTTCGTGCAATCAGGGGCCATAATCCATGAAGTTACGGTCCGATAGATGCTAATATCGAAAGGAACCGAGATCTTAGGGTGATAAACCTATATTTCAAGTTTCATTGAAATCGGATAAAAATTGTGACCTGTAGACTGTTCACAAACAATTGTGGACGGACGGACAGGGGCGACGACAATATACGTCCACATGAAAATGTGGGCGTATAAAAATAGCCTTATTCTAAGTACTAGATGTCTTATTGTCTTACCTGTTGTGTAAATTATCAATTAAATCCTATTTTACTTGTCCAGAGGGTTCAAAAATATTTTTAAATCCAAGTCACATTTGAAAAGCTTTACGTTAGGCTTTTCAAATCATTTTGTTGAATTTTTCCAATTTTTTAAATTAGGTGTGTTAAGATGAAATTTGTATCATCAATTAATTGGAATATTGTAAAATAGTACAATTTGTTGACCAGAATAAAGATTGGGACATATTATTCAGTTACAACAAGAGTGGTATTGGGCCTTTAAAGAGTAGCCTACAGCTGGCTACGTGTGCATAAGGACCGCGTTGTTAGCATTACATATTTTTTATTCGCACACACACACTAGGAGCGTGCTATTATTATACTTGTAATACACATAGACCAATGGATTTTATATTATACTTGCAATTCGCCTGGACCTGTATTGTATATCATACTTGCAAAACACATGGACCAGTGCATTGTATATCTTATAGTACACTTTCATTACAAATAGACCATTATATTCTAGATTATATTTGGAATACACATGGATCAGTATATTGTATATTATACTTGCAATAAAGATTGACCGATAGAATATAATATATTATATTATACTTGTAATACATATGGAACAGTATAAGACTGTGGTGTAAAGCACTTATACCCATATAGCACTGTAAATGCATGCATCCGGGTAGTCTATTTTAATGTAAAAAAAACCTTGGTTTGGTTTAGTAGGTTATTATTATTTTCCCTTAAATGATTGCTCGGTCGGCCTCGTGTTTTATATATTGGAAGGTTCACTTGTCGGTCTTGTTGTCAGTGATTAGTAAATAAGACCCGTCAAGTCAATGCAAAAACCGCTATTATGTTGTCGAGGCAGACCCAGTGGGCACTTTTCTTAAACATACCTTTAGGGCTGAGCAGAACCAACCGAAGAAACTGAATGGAAATAACATCCTAATAGATTGTAAAAAACATCAGCACATATCAACAGATTATAAAGTGAAAGACTAGTCCCACGACACAAATAAGTAATATATTTTGTTAGATCAATAAAGATTGACTTGTATCAGTCATATGGAGTTGACTATAGAACCTTAGTTAATGTCACGAGATGTAAGCAGGGTTGTGGGTTAGGTTTAAGAATTTGGGGAGGGGTTTTACACATAAGCACTGACCTATTTGGAAATAGTTTACAATATCCGAAGTTTTTGTTATGTGTGGTGCGGTCCTTCTGCACTTAAAATATTAAACATGTAGATATTCATTTACGAAGTACGTTATGCATAGTAAATGACAAAGATAGTTGTACAGTTTCGTGGTTGATCCGTCCACATTTTCGGGCGCCGGTTATTCGGGAATCCCGACTAGCGGACACAAATTATTGAAAATATTTTTAGCATCTGATATCTGGTTCTAAATAATCGGTCAGATTAGCTGTAAGTAGTGACGTGTATGAGTCAATTTGGTGATTGTTTATTATATTATTATTGAAACGTGCGAGATTCTACATTTTACGGCTTTTTTATTAATTAAAACCGAAGGAGTATTACGATTGTTTTGCCTGTTGATAATGGGTTTCCATCAATGAAGGTAATAAAATCTGAGAATATAATGATTTTATTCACAAATTACATTATAAACAGATTGTGCGTCAATGTTATTAAGTCTCTTGTGCCTCGGTTCTCTCAATAATAGGTTGTCGTAAGATGGCAGGGTATTCTAGCTTATTTCAGAATACCTGACATCACTTCTCATCTGAGAAGAGTTCGCATAGCTTACAAGTCCTTGTCGAAGAGACCGAAGGGATCATCTTTTAGTATGAGCACCCTCCATCGGCAGTCGAAAATGTCGCCACAGTGAATATGTTACATTGCATATAAATTTTAAAACATATTCCGGAAAAATATTTTGATCAGTTTGCTGTTTTCCTACGACAATCATCACTAATAATTAGACCCCGACCTCGAGTAAACGTTTATCGCGAGCTGTCAATTATCTAACGCCATAACAGGTATCGCACGAATCGGGTATATAGATCTATGTTTAACTGCCTTTTTTTCTGTTTTCAACAGGTGGGATGAGAGAAGCTGTGTCGTGTAGCAGTTTACACCATATTGATTGTCGGGGTGTTTATCGATAAACATCACGTCCCATGTCAACTATGATTGATGCTAAACCATACTGACGAACTTTTTAATACACGAGAACGGGACCCGGCTTTAGACTCAACTCTACTTGACTGGAAAATGGATAATCATTCTTATAAAAGTTTTACGTATCAGCGATTATTGTTGGCGATACCGGAATGAAGATAATAAATTGATGAAGTGTTTTTTGGGGGTTCTTTTTTTTCAAATTCCCAAATTTTCTCACTTGGAGAAAAATAACTTATAAGTTAAAGATAATTGTGATAGTGGCCGGTGTTGAAGTTAAAACGGTCCTTGGTCAAATATCTTCACAATAATATTTTTTTCTTTTGATAAGATTTACCAAATTCAGTGACTTTATGAATGCATCATGAACACAGAAAAAGACTGTGATGGAACCGGAAGTGGCCAATACGACCGTGTTTCAGGAGCTCAACAGCACCAAAGAATCAGAGATTTACCTGCCTGCTGCCATTCCAGTAGGAATGATTTTGGGTATAATAGTTTGTATGACTATCGGTGGAAATGTTTTAGTATTATTAGCGGTTTATGTGAACTCTCATCTGAGAAGTACGACCAATTATTTTATAGTAAATTTAGCTATCGCTGACTTGTTATTGGGAACGTGCGTCTTGCCCTTCTCTGCCAGTTTAGAAGTTCTGGATTTTTGGGCTTTTGGTCAGGTATTTTGTGATATGTGGGCTGCAATAGATGTACTATGCTGCACAGCATCTATTATGAGTCTCTGTGTGATAAGCATAGATCGATATATAGGTGTTACTAGACCGTTACAACATTCATCTATATTAACTGAAAAACGTGCTTTTTACATCATCATACTTATATGGCTTCTTGCCATATCCATATCAGTGGCTCCTTTAATTGGATGGAAGGAACCTCCTGATCCTAATCCAATGATATGCAGTGTGACAACTAATTTAGGGTATGTTTTATTCAGTGTTTCAGGATCTTTTTATATACCCTTACTTATCATTATTGTAGTTTATATTCGAATTTACCGCGAGGCTGTGAAAAATTCCCGCTTTTTATCCACTGGTGTACGGACGTCTAAAATTGACGAATGTGAGGGTGTACAGTTACGGATTCATACGGGGCGTTCCAGTGGTCAGCCAGTGTCCCCAGCACCTTACCAAAGCAGTTCTTCCAGTGAACATTCGGAAGGATCGGGGCGCAAATCAGCCTCCAGGATGACTTTAGCGGGAAAAATAGCTAAATTTAAAAGAGAGAAAAAAGCGGCTAAGACATTAGGAATAGTTGTCGGTGTTTTTATATTGTGTTGGTTTCCCTTTTTCTTCGTTTTACCTCTAGGTAAGTAAATCAATTAGTTAATTAATAAGCTTTGTTTTTAAAACAGTAAATGACGACTTGGAGACTTTCTCCGATGAGTATCAAAGGATTTTCAATTGGCCTTTAGTTGACATCAATTATTTTAGCTCTGTGTATTCCTCTGTTGGGTGTTTTAAACAAACGTTTTGTAATGATTTCTATCCGTTTAAGGATTTTTCAATATATTTGGCCGGTTTGAGGGTTATTATTTTCAGTGTAAAATTAATCAATTTGAAAGCCCATCGGAATATTATTAAAGAATAGGATTAATTAGTAGTCGTATCTCGGTTTATCTGGATAACATTTACAGAACCCAGTTAATCAAATTATCCACAATTAGTACATTTTCACGTGCATTCAAAAGGGAATAACAATAATAGGATTGTCGTTTACATTAGATGCCTATTGTCTGTACTCCGTTATGACACATCCGGTAAAGGCAGCCTTGAATACGCCCCCGAGGAATATATATAATTGATAGTGTCATTAGAAATATAAAGGGACATTCTGCTGAAGTGCAAACGTATATATCTGCTTAAGTGGTACAACATGTTGATAATTTATACTGTAGGGCTATATATGACAAATATAGAAACGACAAATGGAATCATGTCATTCGACCACTTTAATATAATATAATTTAAAAATGAATAATCGAGACTTAATCTCAATAAATATTGTCAAGTACCATTGCTACGAAAAAGAAACAAAATATATGCGTCATCTTTTTAAAACTTCAATCAGTGAAAAGTTCACTCGGAATAAAGAAATTTTCATGAAATTTTTAATATATTCCATTTTCATAATCTATTTTTGAACTGCTATATAGCAAGAACGGCCATTCTTTTATCAGAACCTTACACAATGCATCTTTAAGTATTGTTAGACATACTGTTGATCGAAGTTGAGTAGTGTTCTGAATGATCTGCACAGTAATCATACAGATGACCACAAAATGGTATCATTGCCAAATTAATTTTATCTTTGAGTTTACGAAACACAATGAACCCTATAGTAATGGTAAAACAACATGCACGAATATAAGTAATAGGCTTAATGGAGTATAATAATAATAAGAAGAAGAAGAAGAAGAAGGGTCGTGTTTGTAATTAATTGAAAATTAATATCATGATTCATCCATTACCTGTAATTGATTATTTATAAAGCAATACTGCTTTAATCTCAGATAAGTCGACTTTGTTTTTGGATTTTGAAGTAATAAACACGCGTTTACAATTTCGTTAGATTAAACGCATTTTTCATTAATTTAAACACGAATCGATTTCCGAATGAATTAAAGGCACAACTGAATCGAATTTGTATTTATACTTTACAGTAATAAACAAGCGACCTCGTCAATTCTACAATTTCGGTAGAATATTTGTCTCATTTATTAATCTACCCTGTATAGGAAATCTGAAGTCCAAAATATCTCTCCAATTACAACGGCTGTAGGGTTTAAATAGGTCTTCCCGCGTACGTACAAACTGTGTGGTTTGATGGTATATTCGGACTGAAACAATAGTCAAACTATTTTATACATCAAAAAATTTCCCATTATCCTCTACAGATAATGTTCACCGTCCAACTCAAGACCTTCATCTAAGGAACGTATACACAAAATCTGGACATTCTAAGTAAATTAAAACAGAGTTAGTCTGTTCCAAAGAGCCCGATGGGCTGTAGGACTAGCCCGTTTTAATTCGTGCTTTCTCCGCAAGACGGCAGACAACAATAACATTAATACCGCACTGACTATTTTGGAATTCATCATAGCTAATGTTGATCTGATTTTAATGTATTTATAAAAGTCCACTCTCTAATCAGTATATCTAAAGTAAGATAAACTGACATTTAGATACAACATAGGCATACATCTAAAACAAGGCAGCACACTTATTTTAATGTCACAGTGAATCTGAAGCAGTTTGCTGGTTCAATTTTCAACACAACAATATAGAGAAAGCACAAACATGTCCGGATTTGTCACTGCTTGTAGCGATGTGGCCAAAACTGATTTGAGTTAGGAATGGGTTACAGCGCCCAATGAAAACTAAAACGAAACAAATAAATAAATTATATAGTTCACTATCCTACAGGGCAATAAATTTCAGATCATTTGTATGTAGGTTGTTATGTAAGAAATAACAAGGTATTCTGTGCTATAATGTCACCAAAGCTGAAATAACCCTAGACCTATCCAATCCCCCGAAAGGCAATATTATATCAATATTGTATAAATAGAACAGAATAACTTTGATACATGGCATAGTCATATAATTTTCAAAATTTTAGTCCCTGCAAACACCAGGATAACTCTAACCATGGCACATCAACTGCATTTAACAACATATCAGAATAACCTAATTTCTACTAGAACGACTACTAAGACAAAACCCTCTCCCGAGCACATTACAACAATAACCCTATCAATAACTGAAATGGTTAATATCTGGCTGCAAATGGATCTATACTGATTTATAAGAAAACGACACAACTGTGGATTTAAGAGACATGGGTTTTTATTAATAATCTTGTTGATATATTAGTTGACAATTTCTGTCGATTCTTAGCTCAGTTGCCACGGCAATAGTGATGTCCATATTATTATTATTAATTAACATGTTCGTAAATATTATTTGTCTTTTATTCAGGGACTATAATTGACAGCAACTAAGTAAATATTCCCAGACGTGATGATAAAATAAATTGTTAATAAAAAAAATAAGAATTGCCCTGTTTGCATGTAAATGTAGACATCGCGCTTTCATGTTTTGTGTATAGTATTAATTATAACAATATCTTTAAAATAGGGATTTTTCGTCTAAGTGTTTACCATTGTTTGACTATGTTTAACAACTCTAGAAGTAATTCCGGGGGTCACGTCACCTCTGGTCACCTTTAGGGTCAACGATATTTCTCTGTGATGGATTACTTATCAAGAAGCGCTGTTTATATAGATGTCTCTGAAAAATATTCATTGTATGGCATTTGGCATGTCAGACAAGATATCATATGCCCACCACAGCTTCGTCGTTATTATATTCCTGTAGACATTGCTACTGGGTCTGTACTCAAAATAATGATCACGGCTCAACTGATTAAGAACTCTTTATCATTAAGTCAGGGGTAATATTTTTGGAAATGCTTTGTGAAAATGTATTGCAATCAACACTCATACCAATCAGGGCCATTATGTCTGAAAATACTTGTGCCAAAACGCCCCATATCGCCAGTGCCGATTCGGTGAAAATACCCCAATGATTGGTTTTATGACAATGGCAATTGTTACCACAGTGTCACGATTTTTGGCACAGAGAATCTTGATACTATATATAGGAATGCTAACCCCATACCTCACATTTTAGGTATAAGTGCATAGGACACGCTGAGCTTACTTTTTTCTATAATAAAATACACAAATTTCTTATCAAATTTGCTTCACAGGCAAGCGTTTGTGTTATTTAATTTCTTGATTTGAATATTTGGGTTATTTCTTCAATTTGCATACTTAAAGTCACTTTTGTCAAATGGCACACTGTGAACTCCGCTTTGGTTTAATATCAATAATATCATTCGATATACGTATAATTTTTTAGCAAGGGAAATTTTTAAAAAATGGGGCTTAACGTCCTACTTGTCTGCACCAACTGGGCTAATGAAAATCCTTCTTTAACGAACACAAGTATTCTTAAAAGTAGTTACTGTTAAGTTTGTCTCAAAATCATACAAAAATGTGAGTCCACTTTAACGTTCCTTTTTTTTTAAAAAATAGACCTATTTTTGTTCGTCACAATAACGTCATTGTAATGTAAATATTGTATATATCAACTGAGAAAATCAGTAATAAACTTATAATTATATTTACTTAAACAGTAATCCAATACCTTTCATTATTGAAGAATTCATTTTTTTCTACTATAACACAAGAACAAAAATCAACCTCCCAGTCTTGATATCATTTTCTTTAATTGAATCTAGTACTTCTGCATTTATATGGCCCTAATAAACTAATTGCAGTATGTTGCAACCAGTTATTTTTAAAATGAATTTATACGCCTTTCTTGTAAATCATTGTTTTTAGTGACGTCTGTATTATTACAGGCCCGGGACTATACAGCCCGGTGGACGCTTACGGCTGGTCCCGAGTCTCTTCACCTGATTTGAAATTTGTTGTGTATTTGTCCGCAGGTTTGTCTTATCGGTTTTGTTTTGCATGTAGTTTGGTTCTTCTGATCTTACTATTGAAGCCCTGTGATAAATATACGGATAAATAAAATGACCAGTTTTCCAAATCGACCGATGCGGAAGTATTCTGAATATAATTATTAGAATATATATAACAAGTAAACAAGGCAATGACCGTAAAATAGAATTTGCCATTTCATCAGTCCATTAACCATTTCCACATTTAGATAGCAATTATAATGTACTAATCTATCTTCTGGCGCTTCTACTACGAACTTTTAGTAAACTCCAAACTTAAGAACATCAGTTATATTATAGTATTCAAAAACTTTAAAAGGCCATTAAAACCATTTGAGGAACTACTGACATTATTGGCTTGTTATTAATGCATGGGTTGAGCATAATGAAATATAGAATTAGCTTTTACTGGCGATAAATTAATAAAGTAGCTCCTTTAGTTAATATTGTACTTTTTAAAGCGAACGCATTATAAATCTGTATCTGGTTGATCACCTTCCAATAAAATGTACACTTAATTCTCTTAACTGACATTTCATGACATGAAGGAATTCATAAAAACATACTAAAAATAATGGGAAACAGTAGAATAAGAAAATCGAATTGTATTCTTTTGACACATTCTTCGCAGCATTTAGTTTATTAAATCTTCACTCAATACTGATGCATCATTGCATAATTTGTGTGTCTAACTTTGTAGCACTGTAATCAATGGGCAATGTGGGTTTTCTTGCTTTCTTTTTAAACAGTGACGTATTTAGTCGCGGATGTGACTC